AGTGAAGTTGTCAAATCCTCCAGTTTCCGTCTCCACCTCCTCCGCCGACTCAAGTCCCTCGGAGTTCCTGCACACGAGCTCCTCAGTGTTTACACAACATTCATACTTCCCAAGCTCACCTATGCCTCCCCACCTGGTCTTCCTCCCTAAATGCCACACAACGTAAACACCTAGAAAAAGTGCAAAAGAGGTCATGCAAGATTATTCTCTCCCCTTCCTACTCCACATATCAAGAAGCGCTCAACACACTGACCCTTTCGACTCTCACTGACCATCACCACGACCTCATCTGCAAATTTGGTAAGAAGCTTCTACACCATCCCCGACACCGGCTCCTACTACCACCTGAGATCCCTTGTCCGAGAATTGCTGTTCGACACCACAACCGCATCCAGCCCATACGTGCACGAACTGATCGCTATAAGAACAGCCCAGTCCCAACCATTGTAAAAATTATCAATAACTTGTAATAAATCAGTGTACTCACTCCCAGTAAACACTGCTCCTTACACTGTCACTATGTTGAAATGAACTGTAGTTTGAGCTTTTCCCCATCTAGTTATTATATGTCTTATTTGTGTCACTTATGTTACTTGTATATTATTTGTAATTCGTAACCCATTCCCCAAATATGTAACTGTATATTTTCAGCCTTCTGGCTGCCAAGCTCTTTCAATAAACCGTTAATTATTATTATTATTATTTTATTACATACATACATACTGACATACTGACCACCTGACATACATACATACTAACACACATACATACTTATAAATACACATGCCTCAATCGTTAATATTATAAAGAACAAGGGAGACCGGTCAGATTGTGGCAACCGCGGCAGGATCTCGTTGCTGTTAGTAGTTGGCAAGATTATCGCCGGAGTCCTCCTAAACAGATTTTTCCCTGAGGCGGAAAACTTCCATCCAAAATTTAAATGTGACTTCAGACCATCACGTGGCACATGATCTTTCGTGCCCCCCAGTTACATGAAAAGTGAAGAGAACAGCATCATGACTTGTACATATCCTTCATCGACCATACTAAGGCCTTAAACTCGGCCAACAGGGAAACCCTCTGGCGGTTCGGTCATTTTGGGTGCCCACCAAAATTCATCGCTATTGTGAGGCAACTCAACAATGGCATGAACAGCAGTGTCCTGCACAATGACACCCAATAATGAGTTCTTCCCCAACCAGACGGGGGTAAAACAAGGATGTGTATTGGCACCAACTCTCATTTCCATTTTCTTGGCTTCCTTCCTTGCTCGTGCCAATGCCAATTTCGCCGTTGGAGTGGACATCCAGTACCGGATTAAGGGACCTTTCAACATAAGACGACTCCAGACAGGAACAAAGGTGTCGGCTGCTTCCATTACTGATCTTCAGTATGCAGACAACCTCACCCTCGTCGCTCTCACTGAACGCGACCTACAAAAGATCCTGAACACTTACGCAGATGCATATGCACAATTCAGCCTTGCAGTGAATGTACATAAGATTCAGATTCTCTTTCAGCCTGCCCCAGGTTCAACCACACCTTCACCATCCATCCAGGTTAATGGCACTACCCTGTCTATTGTTATACATTTTCAGTGCTTTCGCTCCCACCTGTCCACCATCGCGGACCGATGAAGAGATTCAACATCGGATCAGATGTGTATCTCAAGCCTCTGGCAGAACCCGTATCCGTGGCTTTAACTGCAGGGAGCGGAAATTATCTTAAAAGTTGCACGAATATCGAACAGTGGTCCTCCCCACCCTCTTGTATTGCAGCGAAATATGGGTCACCTACAGTAAAGGGGGCACCTCAAGACACTTGAAAATTTTCACCAACATACCGTAGTCTACGCTCCATCCTCCGAGTTTACTTGGTTAGACAAGAGAACAAATGCCAGTATTATCGCTGACACCAACTGTAGGGGCATCATTTGACTGGCCATGTTACCCACATGGAAGACAGTAGACTGCCAAAGCAGCAACTTTACAGGCACCAACGAATAGTAAACGAAACGCTGGCGAGCAACTGGAAAGGTGAAAGGAACGCCTGACAAATTGCCAAATCGACCCCCTCACCTGGGAGACGATCACACCATAACGTAAGGCTTAGAGGAGCATCACACGACAAGGTGTCAATACTTTCGAGTCAGCCCGACTGCATACCGAGGCAGACAAGCTCTTGCACCGGAAAGGCGCTTCCGCCGCCCCTCACCATTAGATGTAGCCCTCCATACGTGCAACATCTGTGGACAGCCCTGCCCGCCCCGTATCGCCCTATCTGCCTCTCGAGTCACCTTAGAGCTCACCACCGAAGGTTACATCCTTAATAATTCATATAATTGTACAATATAATAGCTGGATAATCGTCATACTCTAATCCGAATGAGAGCAGATTAATATCAGTAGTGTGAATGTGGGTGTGTGTGTGAGTGTGTGTGTGTGTGTGTGTGTGTGTGTGTGTGTGTGTGTGTGTGTGTGTAATAATAATAACAATAATAATAATAAACTTTTTATTGAAAGAGCATGGCAGCCGGAAGGCTGAAAATATACAGTTACATAGTTGGGGAAAGGGTCTCTTGATTTACAAATAATATACAAGTAACAAAAGTGATACAAATGTGATATATAATAATTATGTGGGGAGAAGCTCAAACTACAGGGCATTTCAACATAGTGACAGTGCAAAAAGTAAGATTGACTGGAAGTGAATACACTGGTTGATTACAAGTTATTGATAATTTTTACAATGGTTGTGACTGGCCTGTTCATATAGCGATCAGTTCATGCTCGTAAGGGCTGGATGCGGTTGTGGTGTCGAACAGCAATTCTCGGACGAGGGATCTCGGGTGGTAATAGGAGCTGGTGTCGAGGATGGTGCAGAAGCTTCTCATCAAATTTGCAGATGAAGTCGTGGTGATGGTCAGTGAGAGCCGAGAGGGTCAGTGTGTTAAGCTCTTCTTGATATGTGGAGTAGGAAGGGGGAGAGAATAATCTTGCATGCCCTCTTTTGCACTTTTTCTAGGTGTTTACGTTGTGTGGCATTTAGGGAGGAAGACCAGGTAGGGGAGGCATAGGTGAGCCTGGGAAGTATGAATGTTGAGTAAACACTGAGGAACTCAGGGGCAGGAACTCCAAGGGACTTGAGTCGGCCTAGGAGGTGGAGACGGAACTGAAGGATTTGACAACTTCACTGACATGTGGTTTCCAATTAGTTTGTTGTCTATGGTGACGCCAAGGTGCTTAGTGGAATCTGCAACCTGGAGTGTGTTAAGACCTAAAGTAATGGAAGGGGATGGCACAACGTCGGAGGAGAAGTTGATGTGCATAACCATGGTCTTGGTATGGTTGATGGTGACGTGGTTGTTGGTGGACTAGTTTTGGAGAATGTTCAATAAATCCTGAAGGGCGGTATAGTCGGAAGCAGAATTGTTGACACTCATCCCAATGGTGGAGTCGTCGACATATTTCCAGCGAGCAGGGGTTTCTCTTAGGGCATCTTTGATAAGCATAAGGAAGCATAGTGGTCCCATCTTGGTGCCTTGGGGTGGAGACGGCCCCTCGAAAGCGTACAGCTTGGCGAAACCCGAGGTCGATAGCTTTGTTGATGATTAAATTATGGTCGACTAGGTCGAATGCCTTGGTGAAGTCTATGAAGGCGACAGCTACAGACGTTTTTTGTTTCTCCAGATGGCGGTATATGTAGTCGAGAATGCTGACAAGACAGTGAGTGGTGTGTGTGTGTGTGTGTGTGTGTGTGTGTGTGTGTGTGTGTGTGTGTGTGTGTGTGTGTGTGTGTGTGTGTGTGTGTGTGTAATAATAATAATAATAATAATAATAATAATAATAATAATAGTTATAATAAATATACAGTTACGTAACTGGATAATGTGTCACTTGATTGACAGATAATATACAAGTAACACAAATGATACAAATATGATATATAATAACTAGGTGGGTAGAAGGTAATACTACAAGGCATTTCAACATAGTAACAGTGCAAAAAGGTAAGATAGGTTGGGAGTGAATACACTGGTTGATTACGAGTGAGTGAGTGTGTAATAATAATAATAATAATAATAATAATAATAATAATAATAATAATAATAATAATAATAATAATAATAATAATAATAATAATAATAATAATAATAATAATAATAATAATAATAATAATAATAATAATAATAATAATAATAATAATTAACGGTTTATTGAAAAAGTCGGCAGCCCGAAGGCTGAAAATATACATTAGACAAAAATGACTTATTACATACAAAGGCATGGGTTGGGTGGATCGTTTAACAAAAGCTATAATTACTAAAAGAAGACGGAACAATGATTGAACATACAAATTATTATAGTTTACAGTTGATGGCCAAGGCGTGGTGTGTGTGTGTGTGTGTGTTCAACCATGTATATAGCCTTTTTTTTTTAAGTGCTAAATCGACCCCCTCACCTGGGAGACGATTACTCCACACCGTAACGCTTCGAGGAGCACCACACAAGAGGGTGTCAATACTTTCGAGTTAGCCCGACTGCATACCGAGGCAGACAAGCGCCATCACCGGAAAGACGCTGCCTCCGCCTCTCCCCCACTAGATGGGGCCATTCACATGTGCAACATCTGTGAACGCCTCTGCCGGTCCAGTATCGGCCTCTTTAGTCACCTTAAAACTCACTAACGAAAGTTATATCCTTAGTAACTCATATCATTGTATCATAGCTGAATGATCGTTATACTCGATTCTGAGTGACAGCAAAGTAGCAGTAGTAGTAGTATATAGAATGCGGTATATAAAAATATTCACAGAAGGAGAGTGTTGGAAAGGTTAAGAGCTCCTACAGTTTAGCAAAAGCCAGGGTGAAGACGTCAATTTCTGAAGGTTTTATCGGAATTTTAAAAGCCTCGCACCGCCGCTCCTTCTTGTCCCCTTCCTTCACTCCTCCTCTTCCTCCAAACACTCTTACATGCTTATGCGTTCATCACCATGGGCAATGTTTCGTGTTGTAAACTGCAGCTTTAGTCACAACCTGCCCCCATCCCCCTGCGACACAACCTGCCTCCATTCCCCTGCATCACAACCTGCCCCCATCTCCCTGCGACACAACCTGCCCCCATCCCCTGCATCACAACCTGCCCCCATCCCCCTGCGACACAACCTGCCTCCATTCCCCTGTGTCACAACCTGCTCCCCCTCAGTGCCCCATCCCCTGCGACACACCAACCGCATCCCCTGCGCCACAACCTTCCCCATCCCCCTGGGTCACAACATGCCCCCATTCCCTGCGTCACAACCTGCCCCATCCTCCTGCGTCACAACCTGCCTCTTCTCCTGTGTCACAACCTGCGCCTATCCATTTACGTCACAACCTACCTCCATCCCCTGCGTCACAACCTGCACCCATCCCCTGCGTCACAGCTGCCATCTTATCCCTACATCACAACCTGCCTTCATCCCCTTACGTCACAACCTGCCCCATATCCCTGCGTCACAACCTGCCCCCATCACCTTTACGTCACAACCTGCCTCCACCCCCCTGCATCACAACCTGCCCCCATCCCCTGCTTCACAGCTTGCCATCTTATCCCTACGTCACAACCTGCCTTCATCCCCTTACGTCACAACCTGCCCCATATCCCTGCGTCACAACCTGCCCCCATCACCTTTACGTTATAACCTGCCCTCGTCGTCCTGCGTCATAACCTGCCCTCGTCGTCCTGCGTCATAACCTGCCCTCATCTCCCCATCTCATCACCTGCCGCCATCTCCCTGTGTCACAGCCTGCCCACAATCTGCCTCCCTCCTGCCCGCGTCACATCCTCCTTCCGGCCTGCCTGAGTCACAGCCTGCTTCCTCCTTGCCGGCGTTACGGTATGTAGAAAGTGACGTTAACTTTGTTTCACTCGTCTACCATCACAGATGTGGTTAGGTTACGTTTGGTTACGTTTGGTTAAGTAATAAAAAATTAAGTTAGGTTATATAAGGTTAGATTAACATTAGTATTAGATTAGGTTTACTTAGGTTAGCTTAGCTTAAGTTTAATAAGGTTAGGTTAGATTAAGTAAACCTGCGTAAGGTTAATTTAACCAAACCTTACCTAACTTAACCTAACCTAACCTAACTCAACCTAATACAACATAACCTAACCTTACCTAACCTAATCCAAACCAATCTAACCTAACATAACCTAATCTAACTAGAGTAACTTAATATAACATGGAAACCTAACTTGACTATGGTAGATAGATAGATAGATAGATAGATAGATAGATGGAAGAGTGGATAGTGTGACGCCTCTGCCCCCTCCTCACTCTACCACCATAACCACCACTTGCTCCAACTTGATACCAGGAGAAGAAACTGCTTCACGAAGCTACCCGACGCCAGTGAGCACCGATTCAGAACCAGTTTCCCACCCGACTATGAGACCGAGGTATCGAGGCAAATGTATCTACCTGGTAAATTCAGTCATTTCTCTACGGCCTACGGTGTTCCTGTTCTCCCGGAGTGTGAACGACGAATTGTATTAAGGACTACTGCTGGTGGTGTTGTGATGGTTTGATGGTAGTGGACTACGGCGCTAATCCCTGGTTCCTTGTGGTTGGCCATCGCAACCTAGACTTGCTACCTGAGCTGCCAATTCTATCAGGTTTTTGTGTTGTTGTATATAGTAGGTGTATTTAATGCTTAAAGTAAGAATAATTGGGTAATATTCTGGTGTGTTTTGATAAATGTATATTTTATGTTTTACTTGTGTTATGTAAAGTACCCAATTAACTATCTTAATCAATACTTAATATAAATGTTATTAAATTACTCAGTTTACATGATAATCTTCTTGTCACTTTCATAACTTAAACTTGTCTGTCACGAACAGTGATTCTTGTGTGTGTGCTCCTTATTTTCTGCATCCACGTATTTCAGCCCCTATATTATTCACTCTTTATCTTTACTTGTCAACTTTGCCTTTCCTCAATGTTGTGGGTAGTAAGGAGGGACATCACAATAAATAGATATATGGATAGGTGGATAGATGGATAGATAGATGGATAGATAGGTAGATAGATGGAAGAGTAGATAGATAGATAGATAGATAGATGGAAGAGTAGATGGAAGAGTAAATAGATAGATGGAATAGTGGATGGATGAGTAGATAAATAGATAGATGGAAGAGTAGATGAAAGAATACATAGGTGTGTAGGTAGGTAGGTAGGTAGAAGAGTAGATGGATGGAAAAGTAATTACTGTAGATGGAAGAGTAGATAGATAGAATATCATAGTCATGTGGACTTAACTCACTGTTAATGGAAAAACAAATGAAAATTACCCATCCCCTCTCATTTCACTCTCCCTACCCTTTCCATCTCATATTATTCTTTCCCCCTTTCCCTTCCTTCTCCCTCTCTTCCTCTCTCCCTCCTTCCTTTACTCCTCCTTTTTTTAACAGTTGATTACATGAGGATCATTGACAAGGTTCTAGCCTAATCACATGATAACTGGTTTAAAGGTAAATTTTGCTAAAAACTACCCGATATGAAAAACCTTCCAAGGATTGTTACAGTAAATCATCATAAAGTGCATAGTTAAGGACATTAGATAAATTAAAGCCACTAACAATGTAATAATGCAGACACAGTAGATAAAATTTTAGAAAAATTACATTGTAATACACAGTAAAAATTGTAGACCTCAATAGACGTGCTGTGGACCGACGAGTAAGTCAGGTTCGCAGAAGAATTAACGGAGTTGGGAGTGTCGCTCGTCATCTATGAGCGGCCATCTTGAACCTGTAGGGTAGTCATCTTTCCGACATCCGGTATGACCGCTGTGAAGAGGTTCCACAGTCGTGAAACTCTGACCATAAGGTCCGCTGATGCTGACTGGCTAGTGACCTCGGCACCTCCACCAGCTGGACGCTCGACAGCACCGTTCTCGTGCTCCTCTGCACAACTCGTAGGGGCAGCCTGAGTCCCGCCAGGTGAGGCAACTCTTGGACCTGGGCCTTGTGGAACACCGTCAGGGCCGCCACATCTCTCCGGTGCTCCCGAGAGCCCAGGGTGGTGACGATGTCATGGGTAGGGTGTGAAGAAGAAATTAATCAGTCGCAGGGCTCGCCTCTGTATCTTGTCCAGTTTTCCAAAGTGGGAAGGAGCGCTGGACATCCACGACAGGGATGAGTACTCTAAATAAGGCCTTATATGAGACTTATACAGCGTCAAGATCCCCCTGTGGTCAAGGAACCTAGTCAATCTTCTTAGGGCAGAGACCCTGAGTGAGGCCTTGCGGGCGCAGTTGTTGAAATGTTTGTCAAAGTCCACTCCTAGGATGGTCATGTAATCCAGGAGTGGCAGAGGCTTCTATCCTTCACGGCGTGGGCGGCCGCCGGGGAGCGCGATATCACCATCGCTTATGTTTTTGAGGGACAAAATTTACTTGCCCACGTGTACCCCATCCACGGATCAGCTCCGGTTGCTGGTTTACTCTCTAGAATGCTCTCTGGCTATCCTGGCGGAATAAGAGCACGATAGGGTGCAATCATCAGCGGAGGTTGATACCACTGGTATATGTTGTAGGACGTAATCAATATATACATTCCATAAAATCAGTCCCAGAACAGATCCCTGAGGGATCGACGCCTCCATTGGAAAGTCTCGGGAGGTCTGACTGCTGACGACAACTCTGAGGGTCCTCCCTTGCAGGTAATCTGCTAGAAGCAGGAGGAGGTTCCCCTCGTTTCCCTTCGATCGAAGCTTCTCCAGGAACGCCCCCGTGCCACATCCGGTCGAAGGCCCCAGCTATTATCACGGGCGATGACGATGGTGTCCAGACCATTGTCCTGCGCATCCTGCCAGTCTCTGGAGAGGAGCAGCAGCAGGTCTGAGGTGGAACGAAATGATTTGAAGCCAAACTGTCAGTTAGACAGCAGACTGTGGTGGTCAAAGTAGCAATACACTTTTTCCGCGATTAGCTTCTCAGAATATCTTGCTGACCACCACAGATAACAGTGCTATGGGACGGTAGTTTCCTGGGTCCGACTTCGACCACTTTTTATGGACAGGTACAACTCTGGCCTGCTTCCACACGGTGAGCCACGTGTTTTCCACGAGGCAGGTGTTGAAGACAGTCGAAAGAGTACCAGCCAGCTCGTTGGCACAATGTCGTAAGACTTACGGGCTGATTTCGTCTGGGCCAACTGCTTTTTTAACCTTAACTTTTCAAAGTAGTCGTTTTACTCTTTCCTGAGTTACCGCCACTGTGGTCAGTTGCTCCTCACTCTCTAGTTGTGGAAGTGGCAGGGTTCTATTGGGTTCCTGGGTAGTTATTTTAGGGCTGAAGAGCTCTCCCAGCTGCTCTGCCTTGTCCCTGCTGCTGGTAGCTAAAGTTCCCCAATTGGATGTTCACAGCGCCATAAGCACGATGAACAGGCTTTGTGTGAAATATAACAAAGTCTAGGGTTGCTTTTAGTGTCATTGTGGCACGGTGGTAGCAATCCCTGGTCACACACTTAAGGTCGAGGGTTCGAGTCCTGGCTGGTGAGGTTGTTGATTATATATATACAGGTATATATATATATATATATATATATATATATATATATATATATATATATATATATATATATATATATATATATATATATATATATATATATATATATATATATATAATGTGTGTTGTTATGTCTTTGTATGACCTTAGTGTGACCTTATAATGACTTTTATGTGATTATTGTATGACCTTGGTGTAACCTTAGTGTGGCCTTAGTGTGGCGCTACTGAGGCCTTGGTGTGACATTTGCATACATATGTCGAGGTCAACATAGAACACACCTAACACAATCATAGACCTCTTCCCAGCCATAAGACTTTTACAATGTGTCTATCGGCAACTAACTTGGCGGACGAACACACAGGCAGACTGACAGACAGGCAGAGTCAAAACCAATCTAGGAAGGTAATGCCCTGCTGGTTATATTCCGCTGGACGTAATAAAATGAAATAGAACTAAATGTGTGGAATGTGTATGTGTTCATGAATGGGAGCCATTAAGTGTAGTTCTTCCATTTACACCGTGCTGGTGAGAGAGAGAGAGAGAGAGAGAGAGAGAGAGAGAGAGACTGTCAGACAGGTAGAATGAGAGAGAGAGGAAGAGGGTAGCAGGATAAGAGAGAGAGAGGGAGAGACACAGATAGCAAAGTAGAGAGAGAGAGAGGCAGACAAAGACAGATGATAGATACAGAGATACAGAGAAGGCGTAACAGAGACAGACAGATAGACAGAATGAGAGACAAGACGAAGCGAATGAGACAGAGAGAGAGAAAAGACAATTTGACAGACAGACAGACAGACAGACAGACAGACAGACAGACAGAGATATTCAGATAAAATGATAGATAAATTCACACACACACACACACCCTGGAAATGCCATCCCTCAGAGACCTCCAACCGCCACACACTAGCAAGGTTTGGTAGTGGACTACTGCACCATCCTCGTCATTGCCACTTACTACCACCTACAGTCCCCCGCCCACCTCGTGCAGTCCGCCACTACAACAAACTTCAGCCCATAAGAGTCCGCACTGTTAGATATAAGAATAGCACCATCCCATCTATTGTTAAAATAATAGACAGCTCCTGATTTATGTACTGTACAGTGTACAGCCCTGTAAATGTATTGAACGTATATTATTATGTCTAAATCACATGTAAGTTTGTATATTTTCAG